GCAAAAAGGTTAAGCCATCCCTGCTCTAAGGGAAAACTTCTCGCTGATTTCCTGGGGGGGCGGGGTGGAGACGCAGGCAGCACGGCCCATTAACTTGTTAGAGATACTCCCCCCCCCATGGGGAAGAATTGGGGGGAGGGGCTGGGCAGGGAGGGGAGGGGGCTGGATGCATGCAAGAGAAGTGAGTGAGAGAGAGAGAGAACAATAGCGAAGCCCCCTGCCCGCTGTTTGCAGTAGCACAAAGCAGCCCCCCCACACACACACAAAGGTCTCAGGTGTGAAAGGAGAGGAGTAGCATAGAGCTTTCCCTCCCGCACGATCCCCCGTAAAAATCGGAGTGGGTTTTCAGATAAGACCGCACCCCATCAGTCTCCCTTGAGCTGAGCATTGGTAGGGGGGCTTTTTTGAGGAGGGGAGTGGGTATGCCGACCCTGCCCCAATTGGGGCCTTCTCCTGCCAGACTGGCATGGAGCTCTCTTGGGAGGGGTCCCGGAGATGCCAACAAGCCTCGGCAGAAATGTCCCCTCCCCTTTTGCAGATTTGGGGGTAACACAGCCTGCCTTGTTTTGGGGAGGGGTGGTCGTGAGCTTCTGTGGGAGGAGCTCCTTCCAGGCACCTCCCCCCCAATTGAAAGGGAAAGGGATCCTTTTTGGGGGCAGAAGCAGTAGGGAGGGGGCTCCACGATGAATGAGGGAGGGGGCGGAGGGTCTATCTTGCCTACCGATTGGGGAGGGGGTACGAGGCAGTGCGGCAGGTGCCCCCCCCCCGATCAACCTAGAAGGAAAGGAATACCTTAGAAGGTTTTGTTTAGTGACCAAAGTTAGAACCGAGCTGAAAAAAACCTGGACTTAGAGACGTTGTTTCACACTTATGACCTTTGGTTGTGGGATCAGGACACTCAGCAATGGAATTGTATTTATGAGGGTCGCAGAAGCATCCCGTGGCTCACAGGATCCCCTTTGGCAACCGTCGGATGGGCAAAGTCCACGGGGAAGCCGGGTTCACTTAACGACCAGGACAAGGAAGGTCATAAAATGAGGCAAAACTCATTTCACAAATGACTCATTTAGCGACAGACATTGTGGGTTCCATTGTGGTCGTAAATCAAGGACTATCCCATGGTGCAGGAGCCCCCAAATTCCGTTGCTAAGTGAGACATTGGTGAAGTGTTATGCCCCATTGAATGACCTCTCTTGCCTCCGTCGTTAAGCAAATCTGTGCATTTGATAAGTGAGTCATCTGGTTGGTAAGTGAATCCGGCTTCCCCCATCGACTGCTCGACAAGACGGTCACAAAGGGGGATCGTGGAATCCTGTGCCCGTCATAAATTAATTTTAATTGGATTTTAATTTATTTGGATATTTAATTGGATATTTAATTCATATTGTTGAATTTTTATCTTGTAAGCCACCCTGAGTCCTTCGGGAGAAGAGCGGCATATAAATTGCAATAAAATAAAAATAAAATAAATAAATACAAGCCCCTTGGCAAGCGTCTGAATTTGGATCCCATGATCACAGTGGTCGTAAGTGTGAAAAAAGTCCCTTTTTTTTTAGAGCCAACATAACTTTGAGCGGTTGCTAAGCGAAGGGCCGTCAGTCAAGGACTAGCTGTAAAGTTTTGCAAACCATGTGGTGGCTCAAACATCCGGCTTAGTGTGTGTGTGTGTGTGAGGGAGAGAGGGAGTTGGAAGGGACCTTGGAGGTCATCTAGTCCAACCTACTATAAGAGCCACCTCTATGTCCTTGGTCCTCCTCCTTTTGAATCCTGATAACAAACCAACATCTGTCCCTCTAGTTTCTCCTCCACTGACTCGGAGGGACTCTGGCCTCGTAGAGGGGTGGGCTGGATGACCTCCAAAGAACCCTTCCAAGCAGGAGTGTGGGACGTGACCCAGGAAGTCCGGCAGTCAGTCCAGACTTACGACCATTGTACCAGCCATCCAGACTTATGACCGTTAGTTTTGCGAGCGTTCAAATTTGTGAAGTGACTTTATGACCGTTTTTCATAGTTATGACCGTCACAGCCTTCCCATTCGTCAGAGGCTTGGCAATTGACTCAAATTATGACGGGCGGGTCACATGATCCCTTTTTGCAAACGTCTGACCGGCGAAAGACAAGGAGGGGGAAACTGGATTCGCTTAACAACCGTGGGGCCTCATTTATCCGCTGCAGGGATTCACTTAATGACAGTGGCAGGAAAGCTTGTCAGATGGGGCAAAGCTCACTTAATGAAGGTCTCAATTAATGTCGGTGGCCCGCCTGCTCCCTCTTCTTCTTGGAATGGCACAAAGGAACCTGAGAGCTGAGGGACACATGCGCCCCCTGGTGCCCAGATGGTGCATTACACCTGGAGAAAAATTGTGACTCCTCTTCTCCTCTGTGGGAGGGATGATGGGAGTTGTAGTCCAGGCCTTCCATTAGGTGAGAATGCCCTGAGTGGAAGTCACTCGACAACTGACTCGTATTTATGACGGTCGTAGCATCTCAGGGTCACCTGAACCCTCTTTGTAACCTTTGAATGAGCAAAGTCAACGAGGAAAGCTGGATTCCCTTAACGGCTTTTGTGTTGCTCAGTTCACAAGGGCAGGGATTCGCTTAACAACCCTCGTGGGAACGGTAGTAAAACGTAGCAAAAACCTCAATTCACCAATGTCTCACTTAGCGGCGGAAGTGTGGGGCTCACTTGTGGTCGCAGGTTGAGAGGCCAGGTGTTTCTGGACGGGGGGGGGGCAGGGGCCAGCCTAGGGAGAGGGAGCAGAATGACAGAGTTGGAAGGGATCTCGGAGGTCATCTAGTCCAACCCCCTGCTCAACCAGGAGACCCTGGATCATTTCAGACAGACTGCTGCCCAATCTCATCTTCAAACCTCCAGTGTCACAATGTCTGGTGGCAAGCAGTTCCACTGGTTAATTGTCCTCACTTTTAGGAAATTCCTCCTTAATTCCAGGTTGCTTCTCTCCTGGGTTGGTTTCCATCCGTTGCTTCTTGTCCTGCCTTCTTCTGGGGCTTTGGAATATAAGTGGACCCCCTCTTCCTTGGGGGCAGCCCCCCAAATATTGAAACACTGCTATCATGTCCCCCCTGGTTGTTATGGTCATGCCTGCATCTTCATACGTTTTCACCTCCACTCCGGGGCTCTGGTGGTGCCGAAGCTCAGTTCCGCCGCTCAACCAGCCCTTGGGGGTCAGGCTGCCCCCACCCCCCTTCTGCTTTTACCGGTTGCCATGGTGTGGTGGTGGCGGTGGCGGTAGCTGACCAGGGGCTTATTTGGGCATAAAATCCCCTGCCGAATTCCGCAGCTGTCTCTCTGTGCCAGGTGGGCAAAACGGCCCATCTCCAGCTACGGTGGGCAGTGCCTGGCCTCACCTTGGGGTGGAGAGAGAGAAACCCCCCTCCCTCGGCACCAAGACACCAGCCGTGCCAGGGCTGAACTCCAATGCGGTGTCGCCTTGGCTCAGATGAACTCTGCGCGTGCTCAGGGGTGTCCTGATCCACTTATAGGGGGAGGGCTGCCTGGTAGGTGGAGGGGAGGAAGAGGAAAGGGGAACAGCTCTAGGGAGGGCCCAAAGCTGACCCAACCCTAGAGGTCTTCAGCCAGCCAGCCAGCGGCTCGACCTTCCTGAGGACTAGGAACTTAACGTTTGGAAAGGGAGAAGGAGGCTTTGATGACTGGAGGCTTGGTTGAATTTGGGGGTGGGGTGAAGGTTGGTGGGGGGGTGTTCCTCCTGGCATTCTGAACATTGGGGTTTGGGGGGCTCTGTTGCGCCCCCCCGATAGTGAGCTTTTGGGGGAATTTGGGCCAGATCCTGGAAGTGGGAAAGTGGGCTTGGCCCAGGTGGGGCTGAGGGTTAGGGTCTGGGGATGATCGGCTGACCCTGCTGCTTATTGGTGGAGGGAGGCTCCCTAAACACACAGCGCCTGCCCCCCCAAGAGTGGGGCCCTTTGCTGTACCTCCAAATGCCCCCACCTGGCCCTTCGTTGATGGCTATTGCCCCCCACCCCCCAGAATCTTCAGGATGCCAGGTGAAGCTTCATGCCAGCGACCGGGCACAGCTTCCGTCCGGGGAGGAGGGGGGACAAGACTCCCCCAATCTCCATGGAGATCATCTTCAGGTGTGGGAGCCCCCTCCCCCCCACCTGTGCAGGATAATGGGTTACCCCTCCTGTTTATTCTGTTCTGTTCTGTTCTATTCTATTCTATTCTATTCTATTCTATTCTATTCTATTCTATTCTATTCTATTATTATTCTATTCTATTATTCTATTCTATTCTCTATTTTATTCTTTTTCTCTATTTTATTCTATCTATTCTTTCTCTATTTTATTCTATTCTATTCTATTTTCTATTCTTATTCTATCTATTATTCTATTCTATTCTCTATTTTATTCTTTCTCTATTTCTATCTATTCTATTCTTCTCTATTATTCTATTCTATTCTATTCTATCTCTTTATTTTCTATTCTTCTCTTCTATTCTATTCTCTATTTTATTCTTTCTCTATTTTATTCTATTCTCTATTATTCTATTCTATTCTATTCTATTCTGTTTTATTCTATTCTATTCTCTATTATTCTATTCTATTCTATTCCCTTATTATTCTATTCTATTATTCTATTCTATTCTCTATTTTATTCTATTCTATTCTCTATTATTCTATTCTATTCTCTATTTTATTCTATTCTGTATTTTATCCTATCCTCTCCTATCCATTAAGCTGCCCATCTGCAGAGGAATTTCTACACCCAGCCGGAAGAGCCCAGGGCTGTTGGCGTAGGTGGCACCTCCAGAGCATTGGGGCTGCCCAAGGGGGGCCCCTTTTGGATGATCTCTGGAGGTGTCCTTGCCAGCAGCAGGCTGGACCAGTGGGGGGAGGGGGAAGAGGGAGGAGCCTCTTAGGGCCCCCTCACCCTCTACCCTGCCCTGGGGAAGGGGGAGCGAAAGTGACACCATAATCTCTTCTGACCTCCCCACTCCCCACCCCCGTTTTTTTTGGCAGGCAGCTGCTTCCTGTGCCTGGTGGACGTGGTACCAGTGAAGAATGAGGATGGCGCCGTCATCATGTTCATTCTCAACTTTGAGGTGGTGGTGGATCGGGCCCTGTTGACCAGCTCAGCCAAGAACACCAACCACTGGGTGTCGCCGGCCGCCTGGTTGCCCACAGGTAGAGGGAAGGGCTCGGTCTGCAGGGGGCGGGCGGGCGGGCAGGAGGTTGCCCTTGGAAACCCCATCCGTTTGTCCAGCTGGTCTTAAAATGAGACGATGATGCTTCTTTAGTTGCCATGTTACTTTGGGGCTGCCAGGAAGAGTAAAGCCGTCTTTAACTTAATGACTGCAATGGCAAATAAAATACAGGTAACCATCGCTTGCCCCCCCACCCCCTTCATGCCAGTGCCACTACCTGGTCCATGCACCAGAAAAGCTGGGGACAGCTGGCTTAGACTGATACCATCCTAATTCAGCTGGGGGTACAAGACGCAATCAGGATCTGGTCGATTTTCTGGAGCTGCCCTCCCCCCCCCATCCCAGTCTAAAAAAAACCCTCGTCCTTTCTGCCGTGTCCCCCCTTGCCCTCGGAATTGCCGAAAGCGGGGATGGCAAAGCCAGGAGAGGGAGAGTCAGCTGCCCTATAGCTACTCTCATCAGTTAGAATGACCCCACCGGGGAGAGGACAGGCAAGAGTGGGAAGGGGAGGAGGACAGCCCGGTTTGGGGAGGGGGGGAGAGTGCTACAAAGGCCCAAAGTCTGGAGGAAATGCTCCTTACCAACCACAACGTCCAGTGTGGCAAGATCTTAAAAATGCGAGCTAATGCGAGCTAATGCAAACCCGGGCAGCTGTCCCAACCACAGGAAGGCTTTCTGGGCTCCATCCCTCTTCCTCCCCTACCCCGAGTCCTCGGGCGAGCTCTGGAAATTGAGCGGAACACCTTGGAGATGGTGATTCGGGGATGGGGGCAGCAGAAGAGGAACGGTGGCTTTCCGTGGCCGGCTGTTGGGCTGTCTGGACGACGATGACGGGGGGACGGGACTGGTCCTGGCGGGGACTCTGGGGTCCCCTCGGGTCAGGTTGCTTCCGACAGCTTGGCCAAGAGCCCGAGGAGGAGGCGGAGGGGAGGGTGGAGAAGCAGAACGGCGTGGGAGGACAGAGACAGAGGTGACTGTCTCCTTCCTGCAGGAACAGCCTGTCCCGTCACTTCTCCGCAGGGACAACTGCACAATTTTGGCTATAAAAGCAGCTCTCTTGTATGTATGAGCACAAAAGGGGGGACTATGCGAAGGTGCCGGGAGGGGAGAGGCTTCCTCTTACTGGTGGGTCCTGCTTTCCCCAAAGAGCTCAGGATGAACCTCCGTCACCCTCTGGGCCAGGCCATAAGGCCATAAGGAGGGCTGCTGACCTCTGGTGGCCAAAGCATCCGTATCCCCCCCTATGTCAGGGGAGTCAAACTCGAGGTCCGTCGGCCAGATCCGGCCCGCAGGCTGCTTAGACCTGGCCCGTGGGGCCATCCTCAAAGCGGCAAAGGATCGGCCCGTGGTGCCTCTGCGCAGGCCTCCCGAGCTCCGTTTCCACTGGCTGAGGCTGCAGGAGGCCATCGTGGCCAAAACTGGAGCCTCGGCGAGTGAGGTTGAGCTGCCCACGGACACCCCGGCCATGCTCACCCTTGCCCCCCCCCACCCGCCCACCCCCTCCTGCGGTCAAACACAATCCGGATGCGACCCTCAATGAAATCAAGTTTGAGGCCCTTGCCCCTATGCTCCTCCTGTGGGGAGGCGTCTTTTCTTAGACTAGGCCCGGAAGGCAAAAAGAGACAAATGGGCAGAGAAAAGAGGCACGAGACTGATAGTCCTCGACTTATAACCACAAGCAAAGGAAAATGGTGTGACCCTGGGACATTGCGACCGTCATAAAGACGCGTCAGCTGCCAAGCGTTGTGTGACTGTTGGGGGTGTTTGCAACGGTGGTAAGTGTGAAAAATGGTCCTAAGTTATTTTTTTCAATGACGTAACTTTCAACTGTCACTAAATGATCGGTTGTAAGTCAAGGACTATAGATATATGTGTGTGTGTGTTGGTTTGTTCTGTAGAACGACTTAATCCCCTTATAGTCCTCGACTTATGATGACAATTCAGCCCCAAATTTCCATTGCTGAGCAAGACGCTTCTTCAGTGAGTTTTGCCCCCATTCACGACCTTCCTCGCCACAGCCGTTAAGTGAGTCTCTGCAGTCCTTAAGTTAATCACACAGTTGTTAAGTGAATCCGGCTTCCCCGTTGACTTTGCTCATCAAAAGGGGATTGTGTGACCCTGGGGACGCTGCGACCGTCATAAATACAAGTCCGTTGTCAAGCGTCTGAATTTTGATCCTGCAGCCACCGGGATCGTAGGAGGGAATAGCGGTCCTTTTTAGCGGTGCCGTTGTAATGTCAAACGGTCGCAAAACAAACCGTTTGTAAGTCAACCTGTAACAGAGTTGGAAGGTGCCTCGGAGGTCTTCTAGTCTGACCTGCAGTTGGGCTCTTTGCCCAACCATCTCAACCACACCATTCAAATCTGCATCCTGATTCTGCCTTCCAGGTCGCGGCAAATCTTTCCGTCTGAAGCTGCCGGCGCTGCTCGCCCTGGCCGGGAGTAAGCAGTCCCTGCCGCAAGACGATCCGGATGAAGCCGTGGTGGTGGACCTGTCCAAGCCGAGCAGCGAGTCCATGGCGCTGGATGAGGTCACCTCCTCCCTGGACCATGCCTGCCTGGGCTGCGAGGAAGAGGAAGAGCCAGAGCCGGAGGACCGGCGTGCCTTGATGGAGCACCGGGGGGATGGTGGTATGGACCCCCCGGTCACACACTCCTCGCCCCGGACAGACAAGGCCACCCTCCTCCACCTGGAGGCCTCCTTCTCCAACTGCAGCCTGACCCGCAGCCGCTCGCGCGAGAGCTTCTACAGCGTGCGCCGGGCGTCCTCGGTGGACGACATTGAAGCCATGAAGGGCGAAGGGGAGAAAGGCTGGGCCCACAGCCGGCACGCCAGCACAGGTGGGTCCCTGCATGGGCGCCGGGAGGCAGGGTGCAAGGGGTGCAAATAGATGTGCCGTCCGGGCCGGACGAGAAGTGGGTGAGTGGGTGAGGCACTGCTGATAGCGTTAGAAGGGACCTTGGAGGTCTTCTAGTCCAACCCCCTGCTCCAGCAGGAAACCCTTTACCATTCCAGACAAATGGTGGTCCCGTCTTTTCTTAAGAATCTCCCGTGTCGGAGCACCCACAACTCCAGTGGGGCAGACAAGGGGACCTCTCCCGATCTCGGTAGAAAGAGATTTGGGGATGTCAATGGGAAAATCTCCTGAACGTCCCCCCCAAATGAGGGTGGGGGCGGGATGTTGTTGACTGAGTCGGAGGTCCAACTTTGTATGGGCGGGTTTGGTGCCCTTGGGCAGCCAGACTGACGAAGTGGACGCAGGCCGAAGCTCGGGGTGTCCTTGCGTGTGCGGGAGGGAGACTGAAGCCCCCACTCTTTCACTAATAGCTTGGGGTTTCCCAGCAGGGGCCATGAACAACGTGCGGAGCCACCTGCTCAACTCCACCTCCGATTCGGACCTCATGCGTTACCGGGCAATAAGCAAGATACCTCAGATCACCCTCAATTTTGTGGACTTCAAGGCCGAGGCCTTCCTGACCTCGCCCTCCAGTGAGAAGGAAATCATCGCCCCCAGCAAGCTGAAGGACCGCACACACAACGTTACCGAGAAGGTCACCCAGGTGAGAGCTGGTCGCACGTCTCTGGCTGTGCAGGAAATCTGATGGAGAGACAATCGGAGGGTCCTTCTCGCGGTGATGTGCTTGGCATCTCGGTGGTCGCATGGCGGATAGACGCGAGCCTCGGGCGCTTGTTGAGAAGGGAGCAAGGCGGCTGCCAGGGTGTCTCTTCTGAGGGGAGATGTGTCCTTGTTCGGGAGGACTTTCTTGGTGTGTCTGCTTGGATTGGTCAGAGTAGAGCCGAAAGGGGCCTTGGAGGTCATCTATTCCAACCCCCTGTTCAAGCAGGAGACCCTTACAGAATAGAGAATAGCAGACGTGGAAGGGACCTTCTAGTCCAACCCTCGTGTGGCTGAGACGGCAACAAACAAGTCCAGGCAGCCAGGGTGGGGGCAGCAGAGAGGAACCGGGGTGGGTTTTCTGAGAGACAGAAAAAGAATGAGGGAGAGAGAGAGAAAAAGAATGAGAGAGAGGGGGGAGAGAGAGAAAGAGAAAGAGAGAGAGGGAGAGGGGGGGAGAAAGATGGAGAGGGAGAAAGAGAGAAAGGAAGAAAGAGAAGCTTCTTGAAAGCTGGAAGCTGAAAGTTGAAGACTGGACTGCCATCTGTCAAAAATGATGAGGGTCAGCTTGGGTGGGGGTTGGACTAGATGACCTACAAGGTCAACTCTGTTAAGCTGTAGCTGTATCTGAGAGAGGGGGGGGGGGAGAAAGAGAGAGGGAAAGAAGGAGAGGGAGAGAGAGAGAAAAAGGGAGGAGGGAAGAAAGAGAAAAAGAGAAAAAGGAGAGGAGAGAGAGAGAATGAGAAAGAGAGAGAAAGAGAGAGAGAGAGAGAGATCTGGTAGGAGATTCATTTTAGGATTGGCCTTGTCTCCCCTTCTTCCTCCGGGGAGCTTTTGGGTCATCTCTGGTTACTCCCGAGTGTCCAGCTCTGCCTAAGACGCGCGAGAGGGCGGGAGGCAGCCAACAGGTTTCCCAAATAAATCCACCTGTCTCAAGGGAAGGGGGGAGTGGTTTGGGGAGGTGGGTGCAGGTGAACCGTCTTGAGGTTCCCAAAGCCAGAGCTTCGGCTGAGATGGCGTCGGTCGCGCGCATCCTCACGCAGGTGCCAGGAAGAGACTCCCATGGCCCTCCTGCAATTGATTTCGGGGTGGGGGTCTTTTCCCCAGTGATTGTGGAGCCTGGGAAGTGGCATTTTTGTTTTTTGAAAAGGGGGGGTCTCGTCTCAGATCCTCTGGGGCCAAAAGGGCACAGCTTCGAAGTCTTGGTGGCTGCGGGATGGGTGCCCAGAGAGTGGTGGAGGGCAGCGTAGAAGGAGGCCGTGAGGGGGCATTGCCCGCCTTGGAAGCTTTCTCACAGAGGGGGCAGCAAAGGAGCCACGGGGGGGGGGGGTTCTTTCAGTCCTTCCTGTCAAGATGCATCACAAGGACCCCCCCCCCGAATGGAGGGGCTTAAGTGGGAGACAGCCCCATAATTTGTGGCTGACTGGCAAGACCGCTGCAGGAAATGGCGTTGCTCGTTTCAAGGTGACCTGGGCTTCGGCGGGCGCCCCCATCCGTCTCCCCTTTGCCTGAGACTCTGCCGCTGCATTGCAGGGGCCTGGGAAAAAGACCCCCCCCCAAATGCAGAGCTGGTGACCCCTGCTTTCCCCAGGGGCTAGGGGGGAGAAGGATGAGGGTGGGGGGTTCAGCCCTTGTCCGCAGCCAGCCCTCCCGTCTCAGCTGCTCCCGGTCTGTCCCATCTGTCAAGAGATCTGTGGGAAGGTTTGAGACAGGGGAGGGGCCCAGAGGAGCCAGGAGGGGGGGGTGTGCCTTCTAGGGCGGAGCAGAGGGAGGGGGGAGGGAAGGAGCTGGCAGCTGTTCCCTCTGCCAGCCGCGCTGAAGAAGCCAGGGTCCTGCCAGATGCAGCTGCCTGGAGTCCTCTGGCTGCTGTTTGGGCCAGCCCCCCTTCCCCATCCTGGCCGCAATGCCCCGGCGGGGCTCAGGCTGCGGACTTTCCAAACCCCCCCTCTGAGCAGCCAGCCCCTTCCCTCCGGCCGGGATGCCTCGGGGTAGAGACGGGCAGCCGATACAGCCAGAAGACAAGGACTCGCGTGTGCGTCGGGCCGTCCGCATCTCCAGCTTGGTGGCTCAGGAGGTACCGGGGAAGCGGAAGGGTGGGGGGAGCAGGACACAGAGTGTGGGGGTGGGACACAGAGAGATCTGGGGATCTGGATTCCCGAGGGGCGGAAAAATACTTTGGGTACTTTGGCTCAGAGGCTCTGTTGCTTTGGAGTCTCCCTGTGGAGTGGGGCATTGGGCAGCTGTCAGAGGGAGCCCCTCAGCTAGGAGCGGTCACCAACAAACACACACACACACATCTGGTGATGCTTCGTGAGATCTATCCAGCCTGCTAAGCCCCTCCTCACAAGGAGACCCCCAAACTGGGCCAAGCAAAGGGAGGGCTCTTCGGAAGACACACACACACACTTCCATCCTCGCTCTGGTGGCCCTCTCGCCAGAAATCTCTTTGGGACCCCAAATGGGGACCGGGGGGGGGGGGAGTTTGTTGCTCTGATTTCCCACCTTTTCTCAAATGGGGCGGGGGTGGGGGTCTGAAGATTGAGAAGGGGAGCGCTTTTCCTGTTGAATTACCTACTGAAGTATCTTGCTCCCTTCTTGCTTGGGGGTTCCTCAAAGACCACCCCTCCAGGCAGGCTGGGCTCTGACTAGCTAACTAGATGCTCCATGGGGGGAGGGTCCCAGTATTTTCCTTGCCCCTTTCCCATTTCCCAACTGTTCAGAATATTTCTTCTCTGTGTGCTGGGCTCCTCTGCCAGCGGTGCCAGATGTAGGCCTGCGGGGAGGGCCTCTTTCTTTCCTGCAAAGCCCCTCCTCTGCCACCCCCCAACCCCCACCCCCTTCAGCCCCCCTTGAATCCCAACTGGGTGGGATCCTCTCTGCCCCCCCCCCACAAAACCCCAAGGACCGGCTTCTCAGCAGCCCCGCCGGCCATTGGAGGTGAGACTGCCAATCCTAGAATAGCCAATCTGGGGGTGCCCCTCCCCCTCTTCCCCCTCAACAGGCACGTAGTTTAGACTAGAGGATCTCTGGAGGACTCCCGAGGGCTTGGTTGTCCCTCATGCTTCTCTCCCCTGATCAGGATGGACGTCAAAGCTGTCCATGCCCCACAATTTTTTAAAAAAATACGGCCTTTCTTTTCCATCAGCGCCCCGACGTTTGTCCGTAGAAGTGAGAATGGTCCAAATTTCCACCCACAAATGCCCCAAAAAGTTGCAGAATTAACTTCTGGGATTCGAGGTGGCATTGATGGACGGAGGACGATCTGTCAACGGGGCGTCCGCTCCTTGGCAACCGCCTCTAGCAAATAGATCATTTCCAAGGAATACCAGTTGTTGGCACCAGATTGTGTGTTTGGGGTGTTTGTTTTGTTTGCTTTTGTGAACAAAAGTGGGGCTCCTCCCCTCTTTCCTTCCCCCCCTCCCCCAAATCTGGAGTGCGGCTTCCGTGCTTCATCGGGCCTCCCTTCGTCCATAAAACAGGCAGCAGAATTGTCGTTATATAAACTTTATTATAAATGTAGGAATCTGGAACCGGCCAATTAAAGTGTCTTTCATTCAAAAGCATCAATTAAAGCGGATTGGGGGAAGGGGGTGGCGGTGAGGCTGGGATCCAGTGGATTGGCATGGACGATCGTCCACCCCTGGATCCAGTGGCGGCATCGCCCCTCCGTAGGACTGGCATGGAAATTTTAGCAGAAAATAATCTGAAGCCGAGCCTTCAGCTGTTGAAGTCTTGGCTTCGGGTTATTCTCTGCTAAAAGAAAGGTTGCTTATATCGCTGCGTGTCATCATCCCCGGGCCTGCCCCATGGATCAGATGGGGCAGCAGCCGCCATTGTTCTATGTTCCTAGGGCTGGAAGTGTTGGGGTAAAGGCTTTTTTCCTTGGGGCAGAGAGCAATTTCTGGGGGGCTGTGGGGGTTGAGAGGGCTGTATCACATTAAAGCAGGGGTCTCCAACTTGACTTGTGGACTTCAACTCCCAGAATTCCCCAGACCAGTCCCAGAGGGAGGGAGGGCTGCAGAGTGGAGAGGGTCTCAATTTTCAGAACAGCAATGCACTGTAAGATCTGGGGTCTCTTCATGGCTGTTCTGCGGCTCAAACTGATTGGGGGGCCCCGAGAGATCATCCATCCGGTCCCTTTAAGGAAGGGAACTCCAAGCTTGGCCATTTGAAGACTTGTGGACTTCAACTCCCAGAATTCCCCAGCCAGCGTCTCCCTTTCTCCCTCCCCGCTCCTGGCGTGTTTTCCACCCGCAGCCCGTCTAGCACCAAAATAACTACGCCAAGCAGCTGGGAATTCTGGGAGTTGAAGTCCACAAGTCTGAAATTGGCCCCTACCTTAAAGGGATCAGATAGTGGATCTCTCGGAAGCCCCCCCCCAATCAGTTTGAAACGTGAAGAGACTCGCCAAAGCTTACTGTTGTTGCTGCTATAAAAATTGAGATGACCCCCCCTCCCCATCCGCAGCCCTCCCTCCGGGGCTGGTGGCACAGAAGATGGTCTCCCCACATCCCCGGGCAATGCCAGCTGTGCCCTGCCCCTCCCAGCCCCCCCTTGAGTGCTGGGGATGGGGCGGGAAGGAGACCCCGGAGGCAGGCAGGGCTAGATTCCACCCCTGCTCCCCAGGAAGAGGGAAGTGCGCCCACCCTTGCAGGACACCAACCCAGGTCTTTGTGAGGTTTCCCTCTCAGCCCCATCTTCCAGATCTCCACAAAAGGAGATCCGGGGCCTGCGTTGCCCAGAAGACAGGAAAGAGTCTCCCCCCAGGAATGAAGATCCCCCCCCCCGGGGAGGGGGCTGAACCTCTGGTACTCATGTGATCCCTTTGTTTGGCCCGGCTGCCCATCTCCCCTCCCTCCAGCCCTAGAGCCTGTCAGTAGCCACTTGGGGTCCCACAGGGCGGCCGAGGGTCTCTGCGAACCTCCTGCCTGTGCGACAGGATACAGGGGCCGGAGAGGCTGCCGGGCAGGGACTGGGGAGGGGAGGGGCTCACAGGACAGGAGGGGAGGTCCCCCCCACCCCCCGTCTCCCTCCTTATTTTGGCATAGACAGCCTGAGCAGGGGGCCAGTTGGGCATGTTAGGGGCTCAGGAAGAGAGCCCCCTTTGTGGATCTCCCACCCTTCTTCACGGGCACAGACAACAACTGGATCAAATCTCTGGATTCCGAAGTACACACACACACACACACACACATCTTGAGTCCTCTGGGTGGGTCCTTCAGTCCCAAACAATGTCCCCAGATTCTGCTGTTGGCCCGGTTGCTGCGGGTGGCTCTAAGCACGAAGGGCTCGGAGGATCTCCTCTTGGGGGGGGGGGGAGCTCATCCCTCTGCCTGCTTTTCCAAGGCTGCTGGTTCCAGGGGGGGGGGGCTGTCCCCCTTTCCCCTTTCGCCCCCCCTGGCGTGGAGGAAGAGCTTGTTTTCCCATGTAGGCACGCGCCACGCACGCACACACAAACACACACGCTATCCATTTCCAGCAAAGAGAGCATTTTTGTCCCAATTTGGTGCACAGCGCAACGGGTGGCTAATTTTAGCTCCCAGGCCAAGCCGTGTGGTCAGTTCCAGGCAAACCGCCCTGGGCCTACTTCTTCCTCCTCCACCCCTCTCCGGCTGTCCACACCCCCCCTTCCAGCAGAAAAGGGGTCCAGCTTTAAAGAGGTAGCCGGTTCAGGTGGAGACCCCCGTGCCCCTCCTCTGGGAAAGGAGACTCGGCCAAGCAATGGGCTGTTCTGTTTCTTTGGGAGGGGGCTTTTCTATCTCTTCTTCAGCACCCAAAGCTCTGTTCCCCACCCTCCCCAGTTTCTTTCCTCCCCCAGTGTTTGCGAGTCCAGCCTGTTTTGTGGCTGTGCCTGGCAGGGGTGGGCTCCCTCCCTCCCTGGCATCAGACTGGGTGCTGGACCTGCCACGTTTGGCAAGCAAGCGGGTAGCATTGCGGGCACCTGGCCTGGCATGGAGGAGGCCTTTCTCTCCTGTGCCCCTCATCCCTAATCGGGGGTTGCCCTGGGGAGGGGGGGAGCAAGCCAGCTTTGGAGAGCAGCCACTGTGGGGCAGGGAACTCCTCCGACATGAAGAGGCTGGAATTGCGCTCCCTGGCATGCTGCTGTGTCCCCCCCCCACTCCTCCCCACCCCTGGCTTGTTTTCCACCCCCAGCCCGTCTGGCACTGAAATAACCGGGCCAAGCCAGAGTGGCTACGCTGCCTTCCACCCCTCCGTCTGCCTGGCTCTGCTGCTTTCCTGAGGAGGGGAAACTGACCCCCTTTGAGTAGCTCTCGGGGTCTTCTGAACCGTAGCCCAGCTGGCAAGAGATGGGTACACCGCAGCACCCCCTCCATCTGTCTGGCTGGTGGTGGTGAGGGGATTTGGGGGTGGGGGCTACCTCTTTGGAGAGCAGGGCAGGCTGGGTAAGATTCCCGCCCCGATAATTTATGTGCTCCCCACTTCCTTGCCAGCTGCTTCTGTCTGGCAGCCACAGAGCTGATGGTGCCTGGGGTCCATGGCAGCCAGATGGGAGGAAGCCCCCCCCCCCGCCCAGGACTCACTGGGAGGATGCTGGCATCCTTCCTGTGGCTGCTTCAGGACTGGTCTTTGCCCCCAGCCACCCCTTCTGAGCCCCCACCCAAAAAACCCCCGACAGTGGGTCTTTTCCTCTGGGGCAGCTGCTTGGGCCAGGACAGGGATGCTCCACCCCAGTTCAGAGGCCGGCAGAAAGACACGGAGAAGGTACGCCAGGGAGGACCGGGAAGGGGGCTTTGACTGTCTTCCCAGAGGTGGCTGGGTGGTAAGCTCCCCCCGCAAACAAGCAGTAGGGTGACCAGGGCTCCCCAGGAGAGAAAGGGTGGGGATGCAAGACTTCTGGACGTGCTCACAGGCCCTCTTGATTGGGCACTTCTTCCAGTGCAGCCTCCCATGGAGAGGACTCCCTTCTCCCAGGCTTTCCTCCACAGGACCCACAACAAGGGGGTCTTCTGGTGAGCTGAAACCTCCACCTCACTGGACAAGATCGGGGTCCAAAACCCCAGGCCCGCAGCACACTACCAGAGCGTGACCTATTTGGAACAGGGTTGTGTAAGCGGGGAACTGGCGTGGACTGGCGTCCAGCTGCGCTTGCGTGCGCACCGGCCCACTGCTCATACAACCCCTGGCCTGCCACCTGGGCGGCCTGGTTCCCCTCTCCTGCCCTGCTGTCAAGCCGCAAAGGTTGGGGATGGCTGGACTAGATGATCGCTCAGTCACTAAGACACTGAGCTTGTCGATCAGAAAGGTTGGCAGTTCGGCGATTCGAATCCCTAGTACAGGTCTCCTGCGTGAGCAGGGGGTTGGACTAGATGGCCTCCAAGGTCCCTTCCAACTCTGTTACTGTTCCCTTCCACCTGCCACTCAGGAATGGCACAGCTGGCAGTTGAGGCTGCAGGAAAGGGGCTGCCAGGGGGCTGGATTGGAATGGGGAGGGTTTCGTGGAGTGAGACGTAGGGATTGAACTGTTGGTCATTCTGACTTCCCCAATAGAGGGGCACAAAATTTCTGGAACTGGCAGGCAGGAAAAGTTCTCTGCACACGCTCAGGGGGATTGTTGGTGTTCTTCCAGCTTGCCTTGTAGGAACGTACAGACGGAGGCCAGGGGAAAGGAGGGGAGTCCTTAGTGACGGTCCCTGGCTTTTAGCTTTTCTCCAAAAACCAGGCCTAAAACTGGTGCCCGTCAGGAAGCCTCTAGCAGAGGAGCTAGGGTGGGCACCAGAAGGTCCGGCTAGGCCAGGGGTGTCAAACTCAAGGCCTGTGGGCCGTATTTGGCTCGTGGGGTGCTTAGATCTGACCCGCGGGACGGCCCTGGAAAGAGCCAAGGACTGGCCTGCGGTGCCTCTGCGCAGCCCTCCCGAGCTCTGCTTTTGGCCATGACGGCCTTCCTGCAGCCCTCTGCCAGCGAAAATGGAGCTGGGGGGGGGGGAGGCAGGCCACACACACACACACACACACACACACACACACACACACACCGGTCTCTGTTTTCGCTGGCAGAGGGCTACAGGAGGCCGTTGTGACGTGAAAATGGAGCATTGATGAGTGACGTTGAGCTGACTGCACCCAGCCTTGCCATGCCCACCCTGGTCCCCTGAGGCCAAACACAACCCTGATGCAGCCCTCAGTGAAATCGAGTTTGACACCCCTGGGTTAGGCCAAGCAGGGATAAGAATGCTGTGCATGGACCCGGCTGTTCCTGGGCTGCTGACTCCTCCAGGGCCTGCCTTCTCTGCCTTGTCATGCCGGGTATTCCCTGCCCGGGGGGGGCGGGGGGAGGATTCGGAGCCTGTCCTGACCCTGTTGTGTGGGGAGGTGGGGCAGGAGTGCCAGGCGCAGGGCAGCCTGTGGCATGAGGGAGTTGCCTGGCAAGGGCTTGGGCTGGCAGGGCTGCTGCCCTCGGATTGTCTGGAAGGTAAGGCAGGAATCGGACGGCAAAGGGTCTTTGCTTTGGGTGGCTCCAAACGAGCCCCAGACGCTTCCTGGCTCAAGGAAGAACTGGGCAGTCAGGGGTCAGAGGGCAAGGAAAGGTGTGATTTAAGGGGGGTGGACTTCAACTCCCAGAATCCCCCAGCCGGCGTGCTTTAAGAGGGGGCGGGACTTCAACTCCTGAGGGATGGCTGGGCCGTTAAACACACTGGGTGGCTGTTGCTCTGGGCACCTCTGGGCTGGAGGGAGAGGAGAACAGGTGGTCCTTAGTGCCCCCTCCCCTTCACAAGGTAGTTAGACTTGTGTGATGTGGTGAGCATGATTTGCCCTACGCAAAGGGGGCCTTGGCCTAAATCTCTGGAGCGCAATTACTTTTTTGGGGAGGGGGGAGGTCAGTATGGGGCACTGAACATGGAGCGGAGGGGCTAGTTGTTCCATTTAGTGTGTGTGTGGCTTGCGGCTGTTGTGAGAGCCCACCTGCATTGCTAGGGAGAGCCCGGGACATCCATCACGGGAGCCCTCACCCCCGCGTCACAGAGCACATCCAGAAAGAGGAGCTGGTGCAGAGTTGAGGGTGGCTAGAACAGGCCAGGGCTGGGAGGGCGGAGCTTAGAGTTGCTCACCTTGCCTTCTGTCCCCTCCCTCCAACCAGGTGCTGTCACTGGGCGCTGATGTCCTCCCCGAATACAAGCTGCAGGCCCCCCGCATCCATAAGTGGACCATTCTGCACTACAGCCCCTTCAAGGCGGTCTGGGATTGGCTGATCCTACTGTTGGTCATCTACACGGCCATCTTCACCCCGTACTCGGCAGCCTTCCTGCTGAACAACAAGGAGGGGCGGGACCACCCCCAAGTAGGCTGCAGCTACTCCTGCAGCCCCCTCAACGTGGTGGATCTGATCGTCGACATCATGTTCATCATCGACATCTTGATCAACTTCCGCACCACCTACGTCAACACCAACGAGGAGGTGGTCAGCCACCCGGCCAAGATCGCCATCCACTACTTCAAGGGCTGGTTCCTGATCGACATGGTAGCGGCCATCCCCTTCGATCTGCTCATCTTCGGCTCCGGTTCGGAGGAGGTATTGCAGCTGGCCGGTGGGAGACGAGACGACCCTATGGCGGGAACGGCTCTGCCTGCTTGGGGTGGGGGCAGTCTTTGGGGTGGGCCACATTTGCCCCTTCTTACTATAGGTAGTCCTCAATGTACGACCACAATGGTGTTCCAAATTTGTGTCGCTAAGTGAAACGTTGGCGCATTTGGCCTCATTTTGCTACCTTCCTTGCCATCGTTGTTAAGTGAATCACTGCCATCATTAGTAACACGGCTGTTAAGCAAATTGAGCTTCCCCATTGACTTTGCCCATCAGAAGGTCACAAAAGGGGATAAAATGACCCCAGGATGCTGCGGCCATCATAAACAAGAGTCTGTTGCTGAGCATCCGGATTTGGATCACGTGACCACGGGGAAGCCTCATGCAACGATCATCAGTGCGAAAAATGGCCCTAGGTCACTTTTGTTCTGTCCCCGTCCCACACACGCACCCCCACAGACGGCCCGGAGTTAATAAGCCACACAACAAAGTCTTTGAAGATAAAGCTGGCAGCAACCCAGTGGCTAGCTGCCAATTCAGACTTTACTCACACAAAACAAAGATTAGACTGCAAGCATTCCGATAAAGCAGGCAAAGTTTCAGCAATACAAGGATTAGTCCAAATGCAGTCCGACAAGGCAGGCAGAAGTCCAGTAATGCAGAGATCATGGATTATTTCTAGTTTTTGCTCATCACAAACTGAACCGGCCACCACACCCACATTTATACCCTGTGGGGTGTGGTCCAGTGACTCAGTTAATCTCTGGCACGCCTTCCCCTCTGCTGCGCACACTTCTCCCTGCGCCGCTGTCGAGGATCCAGCCAGCACTTATCTCCTTCATCGCTGTGCACCTGGGGCTGCGGGGACGTGCTTGGCTCTGGGCCTATCTCTTGGCCTTCGGTGTCCTCCGGAGGCATTGCCAGAGAGGAGGGTCCTGGAGAGGGAGGCCTTGCCAACTCCTCTCCCTCACTCTCAGAGTCTGCATCTGTCAATAGCCCAGGCTCAGGCAATGGAGCCACAACAACTTTTTTCGCTGCTGTGGTAATGTTGAACAGTTGCTAAATGAAGTGTTGTACATCGAGGACTAGCCATACGCGTTAGGTTCAGGGGAAGTCTTTGCTTTTTTAAAGTTATTTTATGATCTGTGGGTCCTGGGACAAGGAGTGCTTTCAATTTTCAGGGACTTTGAAGGTCAAAGGGGGGGGTGTCCTTTCGCCCTCCAAGCACCTCTGGTGGAAGATGGAAGCTCTGGTTTTGGCAGAGCCAGATGTTCACATTTTGTCTTCCTGGCAACCAAAGTTTGGCGGGCTCGGACTTTCCGATGCAGGTGGTTTTATATGGATCCAGCCAAAATGCATCTGATGGATGACTGCCTGCAATGAGAAGCGGGAGCTGAAGGTGGCAAGTGGGAGGGAGGAGGGCGACCCCGCTGGCGCGGCTGGCCATCTAGACAGCTCTGGCTGTTCCCCTGAGGCTGGCATCGCTGCCTCTAGCCCAACTGGGCGGCCCCTTTCAGGCTTCCCTCAGCTGTGGGGAGAAACTGGGTCTGCACGGAGGAAGCCGCACTGGCAGAGAGGGGTCACAGTGCCCTTGGGCAGCCTGTATGGGGCATCTGGGTTCTCCACAGGGGAAATGCCACTTACATGGGTGACTCAGATCTGCGCCTTCTCTCAGGGGTGAAATCTACTTACCTTCCCTACTGGTTTGGAAGTGCGTACACGCCATCGTCATACCTGATTATTGACCCTCTGCGCATGCGCAGAGGGTAAACAGTTACTTCCTGGTTAAAACCAGGAAGTAACGACATCTAGGTGGATGGGCAGAGCCTCGCGCTGCCACCGCTACCAGTTCGCACAATCCGGACAGAACCGGCAGGATTTCACCACTGCCCCCTCCTCTTCTGGCCAGCAGTGCGCCTCTGAGTTGTTTTGCCGTGGGGATGACAAGACCCACTGATGGCTGGTTGGAGGGAGGTGAGGCAACCAGCAGTGAGAGGGGACAGCCTTTAGCGGAGTGGTGGGAGAAGCTGATGTTAGGCCTGGGGAACAGCTGCCTTGGTTGAGTTGTCCCCCGGCAGAACTGGGAGAACCACAGATGCTGGGGCCCCTGTCCTGTGGCTCAGAGGGGGTTCCCCCAACTGAAGGCATAGCTTCGCAGTGGGTGCATGTGGGTCCTCTTTGCCAGGGATCCCCAACCCCTGGGCCATGGCCCATTCCTGGGCCTTGAGACATTCCGAACCAGTCCGCAGAAGTGGCAGATACATGCCCGCGTATCCCCACTTATTCAAGCAGTAGCTGAGCACATACACAGGTGCAAGGGCCGTGTGCATGGGCCCGTCACTCACCCCAAACAATCTCCTCCCACCCCCCGACAAAAAGGTTGGGGGACTGTGCTCTTTGCAACCTCCGAGAGTTCCCACTGAGAATGACAGTTGGTTTACCACCAAACATTGTGGGGTGGAAACAGCCTGCGAAATGGGGTCGAAGGATAGTGCGTAACCCCAGCTGAGAGTGGGGCTCTGGGAGATTCACACCCTTCCCACCGCTTCTGCCCGCACAGACCACCACCCTGATTGGGCTGCTGAAGACGGCGCGGCTGCTGCGCCTGGTGCGCGTGGCCCGCAAGCTGGACCGCTATTCAGAGTACGGTGCGGCGGTGCTCTTCCTGCTGATGTGCACCTTCGCCCTGATTGCACACTGGCTGGCCTGCATCTGGTATGCCATCGGCAACATGGAAGGCAAGACCATCGGCTGGCTGCACTCGCTGGGTGGACAGATCGGCAAGCCCTTCAATGACAGCACACCGCACCTTGGCCCCAGCATCAAGGACAAGTACATCACTGCCCTTTACTTCACCTTTAGCAGCCTCACCAGTGTTGGCTTCGGCAACGTGTCCCCCAACACCAACCCCGAAAAGATTTTCTCCATCTGCGTCATGCTGATCGGCTGTGAGTGTGGCCTGCCCAGGGGAGGGTACCCTGTTGGGGAGGTGGAAGGGATCACGTTCCCTTAGATCAGTGTCCTGGGGGTATTGGCCCCTCACAAAGGGTGGGTGCTCTCTGTGCATGCTCAGAGAAACTCTTCTTGGCATGTAGGACAAGCTGGAACTGAGTGACTACAAAGCACAGCCTTCCCATGGCACCAGGCGGCATGATGCGTATCGCTCCGTGGATTGGGAGGGGGGAGCTTCTACCCAGATTTGCCAAGTACTGGGGAACTGAGGCATGCCTGGAAATGGAGCAAAGGCCAGGGGGTCCTGTTGGGTGAGGCAGAACCCTTTCTGGGTACAAGAATCTTGAGTCCAGACCCCGGGAGTGATAGCAGCTGATGAAATGATGTCTTCCTTCTTGCTAGCACTGATGTATGCCAGCATCTTTGGGAATGTGTCGGCCATCATCCAGCGGCTGTACTCCGGCACCGCACGCTACCACACCCAGATGCTGCGGGTGCGAGAGTTCATCCGCTTCCACCAAATCCCCAACCCCTTACGCCAGCGCCTAGAAGAATATTTTCAACACGCCTGGTCTTACACCAACGGCATCGACATGAATGCGGTGAGTTTGAGTCATCCCACTGCCCCCCTCCCAAGAACTTGGCTGGTCCCTCCTTCTGGGTGAATGGGGGTCCATTGTCCCCCTAATGGGACCCTGGGGATTGAAGCGCCTCTGCTGCTGGGATCTCCCAAGGAGTATAGAACGGGTCCACAACTTCTGGGCCACAGACCACTACTGGGCCTCGAGATGTTCGAAATAGGGCCACATAAGTGGTTGAGAGGATACGTATATCCCCACTTATGTGAGTGGCAGGTGAGCAGGTGCGCATGGTCTCCGTTTGCACAATCAGCGAGCACTCATTCCCACCGCTCGCACTGAACCATCCCTGCACCCCTCCCACCGATCTGCAAAGCCGGAAAAGTCTAGTGTAGAATAAAGCTCCAACTTGTTTCAACCTTTCTTGTGTCTAATCTGTGCTCACGGGTGGGTGCTTCTCAGGATGGGGAGCCCCTAGCGCCCTGATTCAAATGCTGCCCCCTCCCTTCCTCCCTCCCCCCTGAAGGTGCTGAAGGGATTCCCCGAGTGCCTGCAAGCCGACATCTGCCTCCACCTGAACCGCACCCTGCTGCAGAACTGTCGTCCCTTCCGGGGCGCCAGTAAGGGCTGCCTGCGCGCCTTGGCCATGAAATTCAAGACAACCCACGCTCCGCCCGGGGACACCCTGGTGCATGCAGGGGACGTCCTCACCGCCCTCTACTTCATCTCCCGTGGCTCCATCGAGATCCTCCGGGGGGACATGGTGGTGGCCATCCTAGGTGAGGAAGGGGCTGCCCCCCATTCTTGTTCCACCTCTGGTCTTATAGAAAGGACACCCCTCCCTCTCCAGTGGCCCTAGAATGCCCCTTGGAAGGTGGCAGTGCCTACAAGTAATCCTTGACATACAAACGTTTGTGTGGTGACCATTCAAGACCAAGAAAAGTGACTTATGACTGTTTTTCACACAACCACTGTACTGTGTTTCCCAGAAAATAAGACCTGGTCTTATTTTCTTTTGGGCGCCAAAATAAGCACTAGGTCTTATTTTGGGGGGGAATGTCTTACCCACTTAGCTTAGGACTGCTGCAGCCAGGCCTCCCATGCCCCAACACCTGTCGCGCCTTTGCCTGGCTTCCTTTGGGGTGCACTGCGCACACGAGCAGTAGGGCTGGCGCGACGTGACCTGCGCCAGGCAGCATCCTGACATGAATGGCGGCATTGGTGCAACGTGCCCCACGGTATCCTCCTTCCAGAAGCAGCTGCAAGTGGCTGCAGAAGTTGGGCAGCGGCGCGACAGGTGTCGGATGTCGAAGGCCTGGCTGTGGTGATCCTAAGGTAAACAGGTGCAGAGTGCATGGGGAAGCTCCACCGCCCCACCCCCAGCTTGATTTTTACACATGCACCTCACCCCACCTCATACAAGCAGACGGTGGGACGCAGTGGGTGGGGTCTTAACTAGGGCTTATACTAGGCACGTGAAAAGAAAGCTAGGGCTTATTTTTGGGGTGGATCGTATTTTTCAGGGAACCACGGTAGCCTCCCTGTGATCCCATGATCAAAATTCAGATGCATAGCAACTGACTCCCAAGCATTCCCTCCTGTATCCCCCTCCCCACAATTCAGGGCAGTCTGTCGCTGTAGTGAAGCACGAAGCAAAGATAAGGTGGCAGCTGACATGGATCTTCTGGCTGGTGTCCCACCATCCTTGTGCCTTCTCTGTCTACCTCCACCAGGGAAGAACGATATTTTTGGGGAGCCGCTCAACCTCTATGCACGGCCCGGCAAGTCCAATGCGGACGTGCGAGCCCTGACGTACTGCGACCTGCACAAGATCCACCGGGAAGATCTCTTGGAGGTGCTGGACATGTACCCGGAGTTCTCTGACCATTTCTGGTCGAACCTGGAGATCACATTCAACCTGCGAGATGTGAGTGCTTTCCAAGGGGCTCCCCAGCCTGGGCTAGCCCCCCCCCCCGGGGCTCTCCATACCCATCCTTCCTGCTGAGCCTCACCCCTCCCCAAGTAAAACCTCGGCTTGCCCTTGCAGACGAACATGATCCCGGGTTCACCTGGCAGCGACGAGATGAATGAGGGCTTCAACCGGCTGCGGCGACGCAAACTCTCCTTCCGACGGCGCACTGAGAAAGGTGAGCATTGGCCAGAGGTGGCCGCCACCCCATTGTCCCCCTCCCTTGAAGTTTGCTGCTCCCTCCAAGGTCCCTCAACCTCCCCTCCCTCACATCAGAGCCTTTAAGAGATTCAAGGACGCCATCCTGCCTTCGTCTGCCGATCTGCCATCCCAATGGAGCCAAGGGTTGAAGGGCCAGGAGCAAGCAAAGGCGTCCTTGGGGGAGGGTCTGTGAGGGGGGAACCACACACTTATGGCCACAGCAGATTGTCTCTTTTAGTGGCTGCCCTTTGGGTGGGTGGCTGATCTTCTGAGTGAGAGACTGGCAGCTAGAACTGCCAACCGAGATGGAAAGAGTGGGCGCTGTTTCCCACCTAGCAAAGAAGGTTGAGTCTCCCTCCTCCCTCTCTCCTTCCCACCCTCCCTCTGGGGACCAGAAGACCCTAGACCAGGGTGTCAAACTCAAGACCCACGGGCTGGATCTGGCCAACGGGGTGCTTAAATCTGGCCCGTGGAGCCGGACTGGAAATAGCAAAGGACTGGTGTGCAATGCCTCTGGCAGCTAAAACAGCCTGTGCAGTCCCCCCATGCCCCATTTTTGGCTTGGACAGCCTCCTGGAGCACCCTACTGGCCAAAATGGGGCATGGGGGTGCAGCAGGGTGCTGCAGGCCATCCAGGCTGAAAATGGGGTGCAGGGAGCCACACAATCCCCCCTCCGGTGCCCCATTTCGGCTGGCAGGGTGCTGCAGGAGGTGTCCATCCCATCTCTCTGCCCCCCTCCCCCCGGCTGGCCCATGTAAGAGAACTACAATGCTGCAGGGTTTGATACCCCTGCCCTAGACCCACCAGCCCGAAGACTCAGCCTATGACACACCTGCACCTCTAAAGTACTTTTGTCCTCCATGTTCTGCAGACGAGCACCTGGGGGAATCGAGGTCCCAGCCCAAGGCGCTGCACCTGGGCCAGAACTGCCAGGCCCCCACCGCCCCCAAGTGGGAGCCCTGCCTTAGCAGCTCAGCTGCGTCCAGCCCCGCCTCCAGCGACGAGGAGGAGACTCCTGTCCCCATCTCCAGGGTCACAGAGTTGTCGCCTTTCCATGTGGCTATGGGGCCCCTGGCCATGCCTCCCTCTGCAGCCCCCCCTGAGGAGCAGAGCAGCGACTCCTGCAACCCGCTCTCTGGTAAGGCCTCTTGGGGGCGCTCATCGCCCACATCGTCAATTGGGGAGGGGAACAGAAGGAGGAGGTGGGCCTTGGCCTCACCCATCACATGGGATCTCCCTCCCCTTTTCTGCTGCGGGAGGGCTGGGCTGTTATCTTCTCTCAGCCTGCAAGGAGCCACGGCAGCAGTGTCCCTCTTTGTGGCCAGGGGGCAGGGAGGGGGCTGGCCTGCCCATCTCGCAGTGACCCCTGGGGCTGACAGCCCTCCTGTGTCCCCCCCCCACAGGAGCCTTTTCAGGCGTGTCAAATATCTTCAGCTTCTGGAGTGAGAACCGAGAACGGCAGTACCAGGAGCTGCCCCGCTGCCCCACTTCTGCCCACCCCACCCTCAACCTCCCCCTGGCTGGCAGCAGCAGCCTCCCCTCCAGCAGGCGGCATCGCACCGAGCTGGAAGGCCGCCTGGACCTGCTCCAGAAGCAGCTCAACAGGTAGATGGGATTGGCACGGTGTGTCTGTGCGAGGTTGTGCCCTGCAAACTCAGCAGAATTGTTCCTGGGCATTTGCTGGCAAAGGGAAGGGGGCGGGTTGAAGGATACTCCTCCCTCCCCAAGGCCCTTTCTTGGTGAAGGGGGGGATGTCCTCTTCACGTTTTCAAGCCCCCAGCCCCTTCTAGAAAAACAGGGACACCCCCCCCCCCCAGAAGAGCTGGCTAGAAGGAGGGGAGGGAGAAACAGTGGAGAATCCTTCATGCCCGGAGGAAGCCAAATCAGATGAAGTGGCAGGAACGTGCCACTGTTTTGGAATGGGGCAGTGTGGTGGGTGGGTCCCTTCCTTGGAGAAAGGCACTGCAGATGGATGTGGAGATACGTGTGTCACACGGACAGACGTACGTGGAAGAGATGTCTTGCCAGCCCTTCACCTGCCCCCCTCCCTCTTGTCACTTCCCCCCAGGCTGGAGAACCGCCTGACCACGGATGTGGCCTCCATCTTGCAGCTGCTACAGCGCCAAGCCATCCTGGTGCCTCCTGCCTATAGCACCGTCTCGTCTCCACAGCCCCCACTGAGCACGGAGCCCTCCTCGGGGGAGCACCCCCTGGCTCTTCCCCCCATCCTGGCCCAGGCGCTCTGCACCCGGACACAGGTGAGTGTCCCCACTCAGAGTGCTGAGCCCTGTCCCCAGATATACAGCACCCTAACTTCTGGGGCCCCTAAACCCATGCGGGACTCGCCTGGTGCTCCGGGATCCCAGCCTCCTGGACGGACATGAGTCTGTCAGATGGACCAGCCATTGCCTTTGTGGGTGCTGCCCCTCCCGTCCCTTTCAAGGGGCCTGGACCCCCATTCCCCCAGACCACTTACGCTGATCTTCCTCTCATCCCTTCTCAGATGCCTCATTTTCCGGCTCCCCGAGTGGATGCCCCCGAGTCCAGTGGTGAGGTGGTGTTGTTGATGGAGCCGCCCTCCATGGCCTCTCGGCGCCTTTCGCTCCCAGGACAGCTGGCCAATGCGGGGGGGCCAGACTTGCCTTCTGATTTGCACAGACACTGCTCGGACCCCGGCAGTTAATGGACTCTGGACCTAGGCCCAGGCGAGGATCTCTTCACAATGGGGAGCAGACAGTGGACAAGGATTGCCAGGAGCCCGCGCAGCCCACCCGAGGGGTAGCTGCCTGGTATGGCCAAGCAGGGCTAGCCACTCTCCCTTAACGACGTTAGCTGGCCTAACAGATGGGCAGATCCCAGAGGATGCCTGGGGGACTGGTGGGAAGGCTGCAAGAATTGTGGACGACAATGTCGTGCAGGACACAAGGATGATGCAGGTGGAGCCGACGGGACGCTGACAGCGAGGATCTGAGCGTCCTTCGGGACCCTGAACTTTGTGGTGTACCATCCTTCATGGGTTCCGGGGTTTCGATCAATCCAGCTGACTGAGCAAGGAGTCCAGGAGGAAAAGTGGCGTTCCTCCGCAGCCCCCAAGCTGGAACACCTGAGGAGGGCAGATGGGGACACCTCCCCATCCCCTTCTGGGGAGTCTTTGCAGAGCCTGCTTTCTTTTTTGAGAGACTCTCTCCCCTCCAGGACTTTCATAATCCCCCCCTTGCTTCACCAAAGCAATTTCTCCGTGGTGAGGGGAGGCTCCAGCTGAGCAATAATTCAAAGCCCCTTGAGTCCATTGGGGGGGACGGGACCGTTGGGGATCGGAGCAGCCTGCATGGGAGAGCGGAGTTCAGCCCATAGGTCATTGTGGATGGGCAGGTGTGGGTCATTTACTGCTGGATCACTCCAGGAGTGGTATTCACTTACCTTCGCTACCGGTTCACCTGAACCGGATAGAACCAGCTGAATGCCACCACTGGATCACTCCCCCCCCCTCACTTAGAATCCAGGCTGTGTTCACAGCCCCTCCCCATTACACATGGGACTGCAGGCAGGGCATCTCTCCCCATCTCTGTAAGGGGGCGCATTCTCTGCACGCATGCACCCCACTTTCTCAGCCATTCCTAAATGTTCCCACTGATGGAAAAACAGGGTGCAGGGGGACGCGGTAGAGAATGGATGGAGGTCCCTGTTCCTTCCCATGTCCCACTGCATAGGTACCCCCCTCCCCATTAAAGCAGCAGCCCACTGGATGCAACCCCCTTCCTGTCCCTCCCCACCTCCTGGCCCTCTCGCTTGGTAGCGGGAGGGTAGGTTCCATCAAAGGGGAGCCGACATCTTCCCCCACCCTGCAGGTCTCCAGATCCCCCCCTTCCCCGCTTGCCCCACACAACTGAATGAAGCACGCAACATTTCCCCCCTCCCCCGCATGCTGTCCTCAGCAGTAGCAACAGATGCCCAATAAATATGGAGTGGATGACTTAAGACCCCCTCCCCACAGATCTGGTTTCTTTATGGGGGGCTGTTTTTCAGAGGGGAGGGCTGTGTGGGTCAGCCTGTGTGTTGCAAACGTTGCCTGGAAAAGAGGAGAGCTGGCTGGAGAGTCCATGCAGTCCTTGACTTATGACCATACTCGAGGCCCAAATTTCTGTCACTAAGTGAGACATGGGTTCAGTGGGACACGGGCTCATTTTTGCAACCGGTCTCACCACCGTTGCTAAGTGAATCACCGCAGGGCTTAGGTTAGTCACATGGTGGTTCAGTGAACATGGCTTCCCTGTTGATAGTCCGAAGATCACAAAAGCAGATCGCGTGGCCCTGGGACACTGCGACCGTCATAAATAGGAGTCGGTTGCCAAGCATCTGCATTTGGATCATGTGACCCTGGGGATGCTGCAACAGTTGTAAGTGTGAAAAATGGTCATAAGTCCCTTTTTTCAGTGCCATCGTAATTTTGAATGGTCAGTAAATGAACTGTTATAAGTTGAGGACTACCTGTATTTCTTGCCGGGGGGGAGGGGGGAAGGAGGGGAGAAGGGGGGAAGGACAAAGCATCCAGGAGAGGCAACCAATTCTGCCCCACTTTCTGTACCAACCTCAAGGACTTGTTGCGTCAGGAAATGACACCACAACCGATTGGTCTACGCCAGGGGTGAAATCTACTTACCTTCCCTACTGGTTCAGAAGTGCATGTGCATGCGCAAACCCTCTGTGCATGTGCAGAGGGTAAAAAACAGGTCACTTCCTGGTTAAAACCAGGAAGTGATGACCGGATGGGTGGGCGGAGCCTCGCACTGCCGTTGCTACCAGTTCTCCCAACCACCCACTGCCATCCCTACTGGTTCAGCTGAACCGGTAGCATTTCACCCCTGGTCTACACCGAACTACCTGGTTCCTTGGGTGTTAACAGCCCCTCCCCAAAAGGACCCATTCAGCCAAGCCCCCACATCTACAGGAAGTCCTCGGTTTACGATAGTTCACTTAGTGACCAAACTTACAGCGGCCCTGAAAAAAAGGGTCCGAGGATCGTTTTACACACTTACAACCATTTTAGCATCCCCGCGGTCATGTGTTGGGACACTTGGCCCAACTCACATTTACAGTGGACGCGGTGGTCCCGGGGTCACACGATCCACTCAGGCAACCTTCCAACCAACGAAGCCCAATTCGCTTAACAACCACGTAACCAACAACCACGCTGATTCACTTAAACATGGCAGGAAAAGTCGTAAAATGAGGCAAAACACAAATGTTTCTGACTTGGGCACTTAAAATTTTGGGGCCTGATTGTGGTCATAAATTGAGGACCTGGAAGGGGGGGGGAACAGAGTACTGGGTACTTGGTTCAGGTGACAGAGAACACAACGGGCTGTTGTCCAAGGAATGACAGCTGGTTGTTTCACTCCGGAACAGACGCTGCTTAGAGAGGAGACGGCATTTTACACATGGCACCCGGAAAACTAGAGGAATTGTGGGGGACACAATTAAGAAAGCTGGGACTTCCCAGAGAAGATTCAGTGGAAGTGCGTTGTAATCTGCACCTTACAACCATTCCTCTGCAACCGCTCCAAGTTGCAACGCTTCAGAGTTGACAACAGCACTGAAAACTGTGGGGCTTTGACCACTGTAGCTCTCCCCACGGGTTATGGGATGAAAAATCCAGGCGCCTGGCCAGAGGTGGGTATCCCATAATTTTACCACCGGTTTGCTGCGCACCAAAAATGTGAGAGCATGCGCCTATGCACAGCCTCCCACGCATGCACTTTTCTTACACGCGTGGCTTGCACGCATGTGTGCGGCTTAGAAGACGTGGGTCAGTAGGATGGCATAGTGCCAGTGGTGGGCGGCCACCCACAGGTTGCCCCTACCGGCTCACCCGAACCTGCCTGAACCGGCTGAATGCCACCCCTGCCCCTGGCAGTCCCAGGGTCCCAACCGTCAAGAGGGAAGCCTGATTCACTTCGCCAATGTTACTAACCAAACAACGGCTGGGATTGGTTTCACATCTGTGACGAGGAAGGTTGCAAAACGGGGCAAAACCACCATCTCGGTTAGCAACAAAAATTGAATTCTCATAAGTCAAGGACTACCTGTATGCGTTGGTTTGGGCGCTTGGGGGCAGAGTTTTGCAGAGTGACTTCCCCAGAAGGGCCACCGAGGGGTGTTGTGGCTGCATGGGCCTCATGGGTGGGGGGGTGGCTGTTGATTGGTGCTGTGGGCAGGGCCTTCAGTGGCACATGGGCCGTGGGGGAGTTTTGGGGCTCTATGTTCTTGGCCCTCTTTCATCAAAGGCTGCCTTTCAAGAGTGTGTTTTGTGTGCGGCACCATTTGTATATACTGCACTTTGAACAATTTATCTCAATTTATTTTCATGACAGCCCTGCTGGGTAGGGCAGAGGTTTCCCCTGACCCACAGGGGGAGCCCTGCTCTGACAGCCACCCTCTGGGGAAGAACAACTCTGGGGGTGAAATACCTGGAATCCTCAAGTCCCGACACTCCCCCCTTGTGGCCTTGAGTTCAAATTTTGCCCCTTGCTGTAGAGTCAGTAATGGACCAGGAGGGGGAGCAAGTGAGGCAGAATTGCCGCCACCTGCTGGCAGTCGAATCACAGCCAGTCCAAGAAAGGATCTGGAACAGGGAGAGCACCAAGGTGGGGAGGCAGCATGGCCAGGTTCCTCCTTTCTGCCCGCAGACCCTCTGTCTGGCCACAAGAGTTGCTAGATGAGGTCCTTTGGGGCGTGTTTTGAACCGGCAACGGCGGTGTTCCGCAGTCAGAAGTCCCAGCTGAGCTAGATGGGGCTGTAGGTGCCATTGTAGCTAAAGGGCTCCTTCGTCACACAGTGTCCAGGGCTCTCCGGAGTCCAGCGCTGAATCCTCACCCCATTCCCACTCCCAGCCTCTTTGGGACGCACGATGACTGTGCGACGGGATGCCACAGAGGGATCTTCATCAAAGAAGTTGAAGGGGCGCAGTAAGAAGCCCACTACGTTGCCGGGCGTGGCCGTGTTAGGGATGTCCTCCGAGTGGGGGATGTGGAGGAACCCCACTGTCACCCAGGCTACCAGGTCCTGTCGGAAAGAAGTCTCCAGTTAGGAATGCACACAGACACACACAAAATGCACACAAACACACAACCTTCTCTCTCCAACCTGCTTGTCGATGCTCTCGTCATTCCGAAGGAAGTTTTCAAAGCTCACACTGGGGTGCCATGGGTCGTTCTGGATGTACAAGCTGCTGCTGACGCCTTCGTTTTCGTGGTGTTGAGTCACAGCTATGTGATACCTGCCGAGAGGATGTCCTGCCTCAATCTCCAGGTGTGGCCGGGGTGACCCCGCCCCACCTGCCTAGACAAAACGCCCGTGTCTGAGGACCCTGATTCCCTCCCTCCATCTCTGCGGCACAACACGTCACCGTTGTGTTGATATCTCCGTACTGAACGCAGGACAGTAGAACCCTCCAGCAACCTGGAGCCGTCTGTGGTCCTGTTCCACGTCTCTGCTACAGCATCCCCCTTCCATTCCCTGATGTTCCCCACACTGTGCTGCTTTTGAGCCTCCCCACAAGAACTGGGGGACACTGCTTTGGTTGTCTCCCTAAATCCAGCTCTGCCTTTTTGGCCCACACTGCCCTCCAACCCAGCCTTGTATCCAAAGTGCCTGCAGTTACTGCCTCCCCATTTTTTCGCTAAACCCCTTGAAGAGAATGCTAGAGGGCAGAGACCCCTTATTCTTGTACTCTAATACTGGCCCTATGGAAATAAGACCCCGAAGCCCAGGCCAGCCCTGCTCAACCCCTCTCCGACCGCTCTCTATATTGCATGAAGCCCTCTGTTGTAGCCTGTCAGCCGCCAGCCCCTCCAGCAGCCAAACCGAAGGAGGAGGAGGAGGAGGAGGAGGAGGCGTGGGAGTCAGGGTCAGCATCAAGGCAAACTCAGAGCTCCGAGGGGGAAGAGGGAACGGAGCTGGCCGGGGCTGCTGGCGCTCCTAATAAAGGAAACTTTGAGTTAACTTTAGAGGGTTTGTCGTGTTTGGAGAGCTGGGTCAGAACACCTTCCTTTGGGAAGACTCGGGGATGGCAGTCAAGAAATACCATGGCCCCTGCACAACGGGGGTTGCGTCAGGGGTGAAATGCTCCCAGTTCGGACCGGATCACCTGATCCGATAGCGATGGTGGCGGGTGGTTCGGAGAACCGGTAGCAAAAATCCCTGCCCCCCCCCCATGCCCAGCTGGGCGTGGCTTGGTGGTGGTGGGGTAATGTGACTGGGTGGGCATTTTTTTTTTTACTTTTACTTGGTTGCGTCCTGTCCCATCCCGGCTCACCTGCTCCAGGGGACGCCGTTCTCTTCCTTCCAGCTACGAGGCAGGACGAGGCCGGCATGGGAGTTGAGCTGGATGCGGTAGCTGCGCGGGTTGTCCCAGCGGTTCTTCCTGCTGGGGTTGGAGACCAGGAAGTAGCGAGGCAGGGGCTTGCCAATGAGGAACGTGGCCTGGCGCTCGCGGAGGCGTGGCTGCCGCTTCAAGCGTGGCTGCACCAGCCGGTGGCTCGGTTGCCAGGGGAGCGATATGTTCTCGAAGGTGATGTCCACCGTCTCGAAGCTGTTGGCGGTCCCTGCGAAAGAGGCCAAGACCGGGATGTTTTTCATCAGTCTTCCATGATAGCTAGGGAGTGAGGACCCTGTCGTTGGGGGTGTTACTTGGAACCCTGACCTTCACCTTGCGTGGGAGGAGATGGAAAACATTCCCTTCTGTTGAACAGCGTGCAGCGGCAGCCAAAAAAAAATAACCCAATCCCGGGTTGCATAAACAGAGGCGGGAAGGATTAGTACTACTTTTGTGAAGCCTTAGTAAGGCCACCCCTAGAATAACTGCATCCAGTTTTGGTCCCCACGTTACAAAAAAAGGTGTTGGGACTTTAGAAAAAAATCAAAGGAGTGCAATTAAGACAATTAAAGGCCTGGAGAAAAAACATACGAAGAACGGTTGC